AGTCCGTCATAGGAATGGACGCCCTAAAATGTACGGTGTATTAGAAGCGTCTAAGATACTGTATGACTTTGGTAATGATCATGTTGAGATCATTCATTTGCATCTCTGTTACTCGGCAAAAAATTGGCAAAAACGTTAAGTTTATTTTTTTATTTGAGAACGGCGCTTTACCTAATGTTAAGTGATAACCGTAAGTTCACCGATTCGTTGCCCTTGTAATAAAGTGGGCCCCGGTTACATCACTAGACGAAACACAGAAGTACTTCACTTCCACGTCACGCCGGTCTTCTGTGAGGTTGTGGTGCCCAAACAGACCTGCCTTTTGGTGCAACAGTCAAAGCCGTTTCTGTGAGGTCGTTGTACTGGTGTTGTTACGTGCTCCTACCACATTAATACTAGATTAAGCTTACTGAATGTTGCTGAAATGTTATACAAAGACTACTGCTTATAAAATTATAGGGATTATATTTAAAGCAAACATATTTTTGAAACACCAATATAACTACGGTATGACAGAGACCTGTTTTGCCTTGTTGAAGCAGAGACGAAAGACCAATTTGTTTCGCCTCTGTTAACAACGCGTAATTTTAAAATTATTTCTTCATTTGAAGAGTTTCCTCGAAAGCGAACTGAAATTCACTTGTTCGCTGCTCGCTACGGTGTATCCATTTTTCGTCATTTTTTCTTATTTAACCTTTTTAGCTTTGTTTCCCCGTTCGTTGAAAAGTGCTTCTCTGCTTTAAAATTCGTGGAACGAGAAAAAGACATCCAAATAACTCCGATTCTCAGTATCTGTAGTTATCGCAGCAGAGTAATTAAAATGCAAACTAATGGAGACTGAGATCAAAGAATACAAAGAAATTACTCACTGTTTTCGATTTTCCGTAATGCAGATTCTTTTACGGCTAATCAAATATGTTAAGGCGATCCGAAGTAATTTAATTACACGCGAGAAAATCATTAGAGCGTGCGCAGTTTCGGTACTTGTCCTTTATTGCTTTTGAGAAAACAATACCCTCTCTAAGGATCTAATAAAAACAAACTTGGTCCCTTGCTGCAGCGGGGCAATTGAAGCCAAGAGTTCAGATTAAAAGTGAAAGCCGACACACTCGGCAAACACTGAAATACCATTAAGTCATCCGACGCCCCGCCAGCAGGTTTAATTTAACTGGGATAATTTCACTCAAATTCAGCTACGGAGAGATTCAGGTCTCGCAAACAAGATATGAGTTTAAATGTCTGCAGTGAATTTTGTGATGCTTTAGTGCGTTACAGAGCTCGTCTCTGATGCTTGGATTTGGTTTGCCGGTAGTTGATTTTAAATTTTACGGCGAACGAAATGATTATGATTTGAGGACTCCATTGGCGTGGGGAATAGTGAACCTACCTCTTGTGCCAGATGGTGAGGGTTCAATCCCACGTCATGGAAAAATATTTTGTGTTTTTCCAGTGTCTGAGTGTTTATATAATTATGTAAATGTATTTATTTACAAAATAAAAGTATGTTTTAGTGTGTTTATCAGTTTTCTAGTACCCAAAGGAAAAGCGTTGCTTAGTTTGGGACTAGAGCATGCTGTGTAAAAATGTGACCGAAAATATTTATTTTTATGTATAAATATTTATTTTATAATTGATATGCATAAGTATGCACAAAAATATGAATCAAGTCTTATTTATCGCTGTTATGGAGACAAACTCAATTTATCAATGACCAATTCTTTGTATAGCAAATTCATACAAAAATATAAGATGGTGAAAATTTAAAAAGAAAAAATAATGATTATTAATGCAAAATGTAAGAGGAACAAAAAACGTGTAGTTTGCATTCCCAATGCTAGCGATCATAATAAACTAATTGTTTTTCCCGTTTACGTCTATTACTAAGACTTTCTCATATATTTCAACTCTTCGTTTTCCTAAAACTAGGTATATTACATTACTTACAAACATTCATTTTTCTACCGATAACACATCGTAAACTCGCACTAGTTCTTACCGCAACAGGTCTCTCACGCGGTGAAATATTTTTATCCCCCATAATGTATCACTCTGGGTGCTTGAAAGCAATCCTAGGGCGTCGTAATTTCTCATTTATCGACATCGATTAAATCCGCTGACCTGAGTCGATATTTCAAATATTCGTCCCCGATAGTGATTTATGCCTCGTGTTAGGGCGCGATATAAGGATTTTATTGCAGTGACCTCTATCTGTTACCTCTGGACGTTTAATTGAATCGTTAAGTCTGATTAGGCGATTTGTCACATTTGAGTTATGGTTAGTAGAAGTGCAAATTGAGGAATAGGTGGTTTTGCCCAGCCCGATTCTTCATTTCACAAATTAACTAATTAATTAATAAATGCTATATATTACACATTTTTGTAATTTCAAGTTTTGATTTCAAATTAACTTTTTTATATAAGACAAGATGTGCCCGCGACTTCATACACGTGGAATTTAAAATAAATATTTTTTTTTTAAATAAAAGGAGCCTAAGTTACTCCCTATAACAGTAGCTATCTGCCAGTGAAAGTCCCGTCAAAATCGGTCCAGCAGTTTCAGAGATGAGCCAGAATAAACAGACAGACAGGCAAAAAAATGTAAACCCTATATATATCCATATGCATTTAGTAAAAAGCGGTTATTTTAATATTGCAAACAGACACTGTAATTTAATTTATCTGTATATGCATATAGATAATATAATAGCGACCAGCTATTTTTAGCAAATTTCTAGAGGACAATACACATTATCTTTATTCGAACAAAGATCTATTGTAAATTAATGTTCTCTTGATATTAATTCTCATTTAAGTTTATAGTTCAGGGACATTGTTCTCAGTGATTGTCGATAGGTCATGTCTCCTCACTACAACACACGAAGCACTATGCCCAATGAGATTTTACGTCTCCTACACATCTCATTCGCGGGTAACGAATATTACGAGTCATTCTATTATTATATCCAAACAAAGAAAGCGGTACGCTAGCGTTTTCGGCCACATGTTGCCGACTCGGACACAGTCATTCTATTATGTCGAAGCCGAACGGGAAGAAGTCGACGTTACTAAGTTATTTTGGCTTTTGTTAGCGCGTTTTTATTAGCACACTTTTTGTGCGTATGTCTATTTGCTTTTTTTTTCAACTTTTTGATCGGATTAAACTGATTTCTCGGTGAATTGAATACGTAAACTGGGATCAGCAGATAATTTGTGATAACCATCGGCAATAGACATCTGCAACATCCTTGGGTTGCAGATGCGTTGCCATCTTTTAAAAAGTAGGCTTCGGTTACCTCACCCACCAAACGAAGCGCGGAAGTTTAAAACTTCCATGCTGCTTACTGTCATTTGAGGCCGTGGTACTTCCCCGGACAAAAATTCGCTAATTCGTGCAACAACAAAGAAATTTTTTTGTCATTTCAGTAGATTTTTTTCAATCCACTTTATACTAATGTTACTTACAGACTTGACACTTAAATGTAACTGAAAATAAAGGACAATGGCCACTATCGTATGGAGGTTGGGGATTTCGACCATGTCCTAAACCTATATGTTTAATATTTGAAACATTTTATTCATTTATTTATTTATTTTTAAACTTCATTCACCAAACGGTGTACATCGGAGGATTTAGTGCTTGCTGACAGTATTTTGTACCAGTCAACCTTAGAGTGGTACCGAGAAGTTGAGGTAAGTGCACAAACAAATCGAAAAAAAAAATGTCATTTGGAAATTCTTGTCTGTATAATAAAGACCGCGCAAGACACTAGTTTTATTTTGGCTGACACTCTAGCTATTTGATTTCTCCAGCAAAATGTCTGACCCTAGAATTGATTTGTTTTGAATTTATTACGTATAAAATTATTGTATGTTGAACAACAAAAATAATATTTTTCTTCCAAAACCTTTACATCTCACATTTTATGTCAATTGCACTTACAAATATATCAAACGATAAAGAAATGTATTTTACATTATAATTACCAAGTAAAAGTTACCCAAAAGGCTTGCTTTTGTAGAAAAAAGTTTTTTTTTTTACTTTAACTAAGAAAGTCCGTTATTTTGCTGCCAATATCTAAGTATCAAATAGATTAATTTCAAATATCAAAACCAATTGTATATTTCATAGTCTATAATCTAAATACATAGTGAGATAGCTATTACCGAACCTTTATCTTTTCTGGTTTATATAATATGTGCACAGTTTTTATAAGGATATTGTCTTTTAACTCACAGCCTGCAATGATTCCGTTGATTGTTTGAAAATTCTTACCTGTAACAAATTTTACTCTGTTTAAAAGTAAAAATTAAAATGAATATTATTTAATATTTACATTCGAAACACGAATACTGTTTTTCCAACGTGTCTTAATGAAAATATTAAACGTATTAAACATCATTTCAAAGTTGAAGTAAGAACAAGCAAGTATAGCCCGTAAGTTTTACAATATGTCAATGCCTTGGACTGTTATTTGTGATTAATTTACCTTTTATTTTTACATTTCTTACATGATTAGTACTCGCTGCCACTTACACTCTTGTGTTCGCTAACAAGCATATTACTTTGGATACTTAATGTTAATTCAAAATCTTTATAACTTTTGACGTAAATATTAAACAAAGGTTGTAGAGTTAATTTTTAAAATTTGAATACATTAATGAATAAAGAAATTATTAAAAGCTTGCTTCTAAATCAACCTCAGTTATATTTACTTCGCCTACAATCATTTTTCTGAACTAGTTTCACGTGGTTCCGTTTCAAAGTGCAAAATAGCAGACAATCGCATAAACGTACACGTCGCCGTGCAGGCGAATATGAAATCAGACAAAATCGAATTCGAGGCCGCGCAGTTCGGTTGCGAAATAAGAGATATTAAAAATGACCAATCGGGCATTTCCGGGCGGCCGCTCGTGTCAAACGCGGACAGGTATGGCGGACGCCTCGGGCTGCGCGTCGTAATCCTATCTCGTCGGGAGCGGCAACGCCACGCCAAACATTAAAAAAGGGCCAAAATGACGTTTCCAATTTTCCACCGCCACCCCCGGGGCAAATTCATTTTATTCGCGCGCCCGGATCCGGCGGGCGTTTGGGTTTGCATTCGCGCGGCCTCACCACCATCAAAGGAATCGCCCAGCATGCCGCCGAGGACTCTATTAGCTCTATTAACGATAAACCTCGACTGATTTCCAGGTGGAATTTTCTCGGGGAAATTAGGGGAGGCCGCGCTCTTTGATTCGCCCCACTCCGTCTGAGAGAAAAATCGACAGGCCTATGTTTTAATATTCGCCGGAATGCGGGCGGACGTGGCTTGTTACTGAGTTTATTAAGAATTTCGTTAAGAGTCCCATTTGGAAAATATCAATAAGTAGACGGGACGCCCTTGACAAGCTTCGCTATTATGTTGTATTCTCCCTTCCGGCTTCCTTCCGCTCGTAATTTTGTTATTGATTAATGATTCGTTTACGATGAATGTTTGCTGGCAAATTAACTGTCAAATGGTCATTGCTTTGGGGAACAAAGTTCTCGTAAACTGATAATTTTTTAACTGTTAAAATTATCAGTTTAAGTACTGGTACCGATAAATCTTCATTCTTCAGTCTCATTTGAAATTTAAGTGCTGATTTATTACCAACACAGCTGTGAGGGAAAACATTGCAAGTATTTGAATCCGCAGTGGTGCCCTAATGGTCTTTGAACATGGGAGGACATTGCCTTTTTAAACTAATAATGTTTAATAAAATTAAAAACAACCGTCGAATACGTAACATGTATACGACATCATCCTTTTCTACCTTACGTATAAATACATCATATAAATACACCAAAATAATCCAAAAATAATGCGTAAATTATGTCATGGAGATTTTCAATGCTTTACTTCTTATTAAAGTACCGCCACATTAAAAGAAATGATATAAGAGCTGTATAAAGTTTATTTAGGAGTAGTAGTTAGTTAGGTCATTTCGATTCAATTTCAACGAATACATATTGGTTTATCTATCAACAAAGCAGTGATGATGATTCAGTGCTGCAGAATATCTCACAACGTTCTGACGAAATGTTATGTCCCCTTGGATCTTGGAATGTACCAGTACCAGTGAAACGCATTTAGCAATAGTTGACCACCACCACGTTGAAAATTATACACGAAATGCTTCTATGTACTGTGTACATAATTTTGCACCTCATCACGATCTGATTGATTATACAAAAAGATCGAATAACGTACTTAGCCCGTAGCTCGCAGCCTATGCGAGTCTACGAGCTACGGGCACATTACGTAGCACCACAATATCTGCAGATGGGGGAAGGCTACAGGTTCATGTAAAATTCATACCAATCCCGACATCGCCTCCTAGCTTTTCGCGTTCGCACAGCGCGATTTCGCGATAAAATTACTCCCATCTAATCATGTTACGCGGCGGGGGGACAGAGAAATCGCAGCGTCCTACGTACGCCACCTTCAAATTGTGACGCCTCTGTCGCCCGTCGTCTTTTTTTTATTTACGGCGCATGTTTATTTATGCGCAATTCCACGCCGCGTGTTGATCGGCCCCGTCGCGTATTAGTTTACGAATTGTGGGGAATATTGGTTGAAAAAGGTTCCGGAACATGTAAGGTGGAATGCCATCATTTATACCATCGTATAGTCGAATGTTTAGCCAGGAGCAGTAACTAAATTAAAATAACAAAAATGCAAAAGTATTAAAAAAATTACAAACGTGCCAATCGACAATTCAATATCCGATAGTGAACATGTGGGTAGTATACATGAATTCAGTAGATTCATGTTATTTAAATATCTATTTATCCTTTGACGTGTACATGCTTAGTTCAATGAATATTTTTTGGTTATATCAGAATATTTATTTTGTTTTAAGTCAAATAAAATGACCGCATAAGTTAGTGCCAATCTGTACGTCTAACTTTGTGGACGGAATTTGTTCAGGTAAAAGATATAAGAGAGAGAGAATGATAGAAAGAGAGACAGAGCGTAATAGAAAGAGAGAACAATTATAATCCTCACAAGAGGCGCTCCATTTTCTAACCAGTACCTAATTCATTATAATAATGTATTAACACTACGTAACTTAACTAGAGTTCATTAAAAAGAAGTCAAAATCCACGATAGTTTGGAAGCCAATATATATGCCAATCCCAACGCACGTATATGTGTAGGTAGCTACCAACGTTTCAAAACTTCGAACAAAGTTATAACAGAAATCACACGGCAAACAAACGATATTTCTAACGAATCTCACAGCGTACCCCACATTCGTATTCCAAATGCGTGTGGAGTATCAAAATTAAAGTAAACATCAAAGTTGGCAATCTCGACTCGCTCGTAATTGTGCCGAAACGGGAGAACAATATTACAACGCATCGAAGGAGCGAACTTTAACTAAACACGATCTATCATTTCACTTATGCCGCGCAAAAATGATCCTAGAGGAAAGCGTCGAGGTTTCGGTTCAGTATAGACGTTTTGTAATTTCTCCTTATGGTTTATTTTAATAATACTTGATTTAATATAATGTTGACTATATTCTCCCGATAGCGTTATTACCTCTTGTGCAGCGTAAATGCAAACGTACGCTACTGTTATGGCTATGTATGTACTGGGAATGCGTAAGCCAATAATTGTCTGATACAACTCGCGCGTCACCTAATCGTTCAGTCCCTTAAGGGACATTAATGTCAGAAACATTCATGAAAGTCCACACATAATTGTACAAAGTTTCATCATAACCAGATGAAGGATACAAATATGACAGTTAACTGTGGTAGCGCTACGCAACTTCGCTTTTGCATGAATGGGCATATCCGTCCGGAGAAGAACCATGGCCTAACAAAATAGCGCGTTGCTGTGGAAGTATTATACATTTTGGTTTCGTCTAGTGAGTGAGGTGACCGGGGCCCGCTCTATTAAAATGAGAGAACACATCTGCAACCCTAAGGGATTTGCAAATGTCCATGGGCGGTGTTTATCATTTCACATCAGGTGAACAGCAAAAAAATGCTTATTTACATATAAACAATAGAACTCACTGCATTAACAACTCTATTAAGTAAGACTAGTAAACAAAATTAATATTCAATTAAATTGTTGCACCAAATAACTTTGACGATTATCATAACAGTTTGGGACACGGTACCCTAAAGCCACAGACGCTCGCAAGAAATGGGAGGTGAAGCTTGCTGGTGCTACGTAATACGTCGTAGTTTCGCTTGCCGGAGCTACGTCGTAGTGGCATCTTCGCGGGCCAAGTCTCGTGTGAAAGGGAATTAAATAATTCCGGCCGTACATATTGCGAAAGTTTGGAGGCTTCGCCGGGCCAATGGGCCGAGAGGTTTTCTTTGCGGAGCCCCAATGTTTTCGCCGCACCGTTTGTTATCGGGCACACGGCCGATTCGACTGTTCGCGGCTTTGAAAAAACACGGGCGTGGGAAACGCGCCAAGCGCAGCGACTTTGTCCCATTGTGTGTACCTAATTCCCCGGTGTCGTATGCTTAGAGATTCATAGGCGTTGAAAATAGACAATGCGGGTTTATTCGGTTGGTGAAAGATTGAAAAACTCAACTGAACCGACTATTGTTCTCCTGGTTGAATATAAGGTGGAATATTTTTACTAAAACTATCACAAAGACGCCTTGTCTTTAACCTAAAACTATTATTTATCTTAATTATTTCAATAGTCGCATAGGTATTTTAGATAGTGCCCGAGAAGAAGTGTAACACTTCCACATCACGCCGGTCTTCTTTGAGGACCGGCCCGTTCGTGCAATAGTGAATGCTGGTGCGTGGTCATACCGTAGATAGCCTGGTAGTTTTCAAAAAAATGCTTCTGAAATCTATTTGCTTAGGACACAATGGCATGAGTAGTATGAATAGGTGGAAAATAAGCATGATTTTTAATCTCCTGCTCATGGAGTTCTGCTACATCCATTTTTATCATTACTGCTATTAACACCATAAAAAGGTAATTTTAGTTTATTTGTTTGTTAAACAACGGTTATTTCTGGTAATCCTGAACGAATTTTCGCTTTAAACCTCGGCTCAGGACTTCTAGGTATGGGTGGACTGTATGTAGGAATGGCAAATCAGGTATACATTTAACGCCTTGGCTTAAAGAAAAAAAAGAGGAGAGGAGAGATGTCTACTTTTGACTTCATTATGAAGCGAACTTTCAAATATTTGGATATTTTTTTAAAATGCATATGATGATATAATGAAACGTCCCAGGCACTGGAACATTAGAGCTAAACGGACAAGATATTGAATTGTTTATATTTTTACATGAATTTTATACCGCATACATTTATTTCATAACTTGATTGTCGAAAATTTCACGAACCGGTTTTAATAATATGCGAATTACCCGGAAATCAAATATAATTTCGCTCAGAATTAAAATGTTTCCTGATAAAATGTATTTACAGTTTTCAACGCAGTCACGTCATGCGTGTCCGATGAAACACGAGGTCATAGTAACGTACAAATAATTTATCAGCAACCAGAAACTTGTGCAGTGCATCAATAATTTTATTTGGCATGATATTTCGAATAAATATTGATATCATTATGACGTGGATAACATTATGAACAAATAATGATATTGATAGATAGATATCAGATAAAAAAAATTATAAATGTTGAAATGAATAAGTTATGCGTAGAAAAAAAAAAAGACATTTTTCTAATTTATTTCAGTCTATTCGAGTCCACTGCTGAACAGCCTATATAGCTCCTCGGCAGACTGCCAAGAAGCCCGTTCCTGAGCCACCTACATACACATACTTGCACAGGACGTCATTCCATTTACCTGGGGGTCGTCCTACATTGATGGCCAATACAAACTGCCACCCGAGAACCTTTTTTCCCCATCGGTTCTCGGTTCTTCAAGCTATAAGGCCGGCTATTGCCACTGCTAAGCTGCAGTGGCAATGGCTGGCCTTATGTTTTCTTTCATACCTCAACCTTTCATTTTTTACCTTCATACCAATAGAACACAAATAATCTTATATATACAGTATAACTATACTACTATACTATAGAACTACCACAAAACAGTGGTAGAGACATGATTGTAATGTAAAGTACTCAGTGCAACATGCTGTGATTGGAACCTATGAGAGGATCAAGCCAAAGCCTATACTTACAGGATATAGGGCCCACTTTTACATAGACTACGCTTGAATGTTAATTATTGAAACAACACGAGTAGCTTTTAACAGATTGGTAAACCGTTTTCAACGTTAATGCGGTATACCACTCTAATGCATGTCACGGTATTTGCGAGTTGTTTTAATAATTTTGCAAATAGGTTGTTTTGAATTGAAAATTTCAATTTCATATTGATGGTCGCTGATGTTCAACTCATGTGGTACTTGCGTTTATAACGTGTCGCGTTATATTAATTGTGATTTTATTGTAGATGCTTCTTAATGAATTAAAAACAGGTTGGTACCTAAGTGCTTTTTATAATGAGCAGAACTATCTGATTTAGTTCCACTCCCACCTTTTTATCAGACCAAAATTAATGATTTACCATATTTTTTACCTTTAGGGCAAGTGTGGCAACATCAACAAACTGTTACATAACCAAATCACAACGTTGAAATTATGCTTTAAGGTATATTGTTTCAAAATCCTGATATTTTTTAAAAAAGTCTTAGGTTTATTTGAAAAGTCTTTTTGAAATGGTCATCTATAACGTAGGCTCAAAAATTTTTTGTAGTCGTTTCTTTTGCTTTGTTTTATTTGTGCACATACATACCACAATTTCTCTGGAACACCCATTAGGTTGGCCGGCAAAAATACCTTTTAGAATCCTCCCGCCTATAAACATTTTTTGTGCATAAAGTTTTAAATAAACGAAATCCATTTACAATGTGATACAAATAAGGAATCTACTAAAAACTAACAGTTTTTCGTCACCGCGGGAATCTGACTTTTTCTTTTCTTTTTTATTTGAGTATCCGAACTGGATTCTAAAATTAATAAAGGTAAGATAACGTATATAACTAAATTGCTGGGATAAGTGCTAGGTAGAAGAAGAAGAACGTATATAACGTAAAACATTTTTTAAGATAAATGCTTGAAAAAAAATACCTTTTAAGTATTTTTTATTTATTGTCTACCTGATGATACGGAAAATTCGAAGTCGAGTGTAATTAAATACTCATGTATTCAATTACTATCTAAATTTCAATAAAATATTTTATATTTATGATGCAAAAAAATTGTCTAGCTATTTTAAATTTAACCAGTAATATATTTAAATTAAGGAGCTCCTTGTTCCTTGTTGTTATAAATCGAAAAAGAATATGTTTGTGTGTAGTTTTTTAGCGTGAGAGCGGACTGACTTTAAATAGACTCGCGAACTTTACTCATCAAGCTTGATTGCAGCAACGTACTGGCAACTACAAAAATAGCTTTCGCGATCGTTTACCCTAATGTGGTCTACAGAAGCTGAGAGCAATTCACTTGACGAAAAGCAGTTTTACTACGTCGGTATTTTTCTCGATTAATTTTATTTCATGGATTGTTACTTGCCAAGTATCAAAAATTATCTATTTTAAAAAAGTAATAGGGAATCCGTTTATAAAAAAAACGTAGTAGGGTGTTATTATGTCTACTTAAAGTTAACTTTTCTCCATACTTTAAAGGGTTTTATTATGTCTATCAAGAGGTAATTTTTCTCCATACTTTAATATAATTCCCGCAGTATATTATATAAATTATTTTTTAAATATCATCTAAGGAATAAAATGCAAGGAAAAAATGGATGTTTAAATTAAATTTAAACTTAATATAAATTAAATGTTTCTGATATTTTAGTTGGTACATAATATTAAATAATGACTGCTTTAATAATATTGAAGAAAATATTTCTGAAAATTTTACTGAAAAAAAAAAAAAAAAAAAAATTCGACAAACTAAACATTCGACTAAATATTAAAAAAGCGTAGCAAGATAGCAGTAGAATGTTAAGATTAAGTGTCGAGACTTTGTTTAAGTTGACTTTATTGGAGCAGCCTATTGCTTATTTCCCTTTTAATACACACTTTTCTACCTTTCCGTTATGCTTTACTACGCAATAAGATGAAATTTAGCACCGGGCGATATTATAATCATAATTTCGCCGCGGCAGTCATAAATCGCGGCGCAGATATTGTTTTCACCTCCGCTGTCTTCGCAGAATTAATGTACTTCGGTAACTTGTTCCTTTTTTACTAAACGATATCCAGATGCGCTTTGGATGAACTCGGCGAGGGCGTTGAGTGTTCGTTTTCCACAATTTAATTCAGCCTATTTTCCTCGTTTGTTTCAATGTATTCGTACAAAATTAAAAGATGAAACAAATGTAATAACCGATGTTTTCTCTTTCAATCCCTGGACTTGATTGTAGATGTAAAACTTTATCTTTTGTATAGTTCATGGACTATGATGACTTTATGTTATGTAGGTTCACGTACGTGAAGAGAGCTTAAACTTTAAAAAATCAGAACTGGACGAAATTTTTTTTGTTCTATTGGAAATACCTGTACTTGGTTCATTAATTATCCCTTGACTTCATTCTAAAATCATGGTATATAACACTTCTTTAATGAAAATACTTATTATATTTCGTACCTTGTAAATCTATAATTGCAATTTGACTGCCAACAGGCCGTGATATTGTATCTCAGCTAAATTATGTACTTAGGCGTGCTCAGTCATCAGGAAGCCCGTGTCTAACATTATACGCTAATTAATTGGTAATCCGCATACAAAGCAAATCAATTAAGGCCCTATAATTACTACGGCGACAGGATTGGAGGCCGCGCACGTACGTGTAGGCGCAATTCAACTTGAGACGTTGGTAACTGGAGCTTGTTACGTGTTGTCGTAAAGTAATTTTGCATCTAAAGTCACCTGTTACGTAATCTAAGTTGAAAACAGCATATATATTAAGTTCCGAGTGAATTCGATATCAACATTATTTCAGTATCAATAAAAAAATAATCGAAGATATGAAGTCCACCAATCAGCAGCGGCCTTTGCCTAGCTGGCCTTTGCCTAGCTGTGGGGCATATATAAGCTGGTACTATACTATAATGTTTCAGCCCGTTTTACTCCACTGCAGAACCCCATAGACTGTTTTGAACCATGATCCTAAGCGTATACATCGATTGGCCCGCACGTAGTAATATATATAGGTACATTAATATTATTCTGTTTTAACTTACAATATAACTTAAAAATCATATTAAATGAAACTAGTTTACGGATTAAAACATGTACAAAAAGTACGAAAAGATTGTCGCCGCTGTGGGAATCGAACCCACGTCTTCGGCATTCGCGGCCTGACGCTCTAGCCACAGAGCTAAACGGCTGATAGCCACAGCGACGAAAATCTTAACGCCTTCTTTCTACATTGTTATTTAGCATTTTTTGTTCTCTTTGTTCTACATTTTTTTAATGTTCAATCTTAAC